TGTAATATTTAGTAACTGTTAAAATTTCAATGCTTTGTCATTGTTTTTCTGTAAGGGTTCATACAACCTTAACTCTGCCCTCCTTTCGTGTTACGAAAGATTCACCGATCGTTCCTTAATAGGTACAGAATAGTTATACTTCAATTAAAAACCATTGAGACTCTAGAGAAATGAATTCCTATTCTTAATTCGTATTTTATTAATTAAATACCTTCTCTACGAACAAGTTTCCTTAATACATTTACATCAGAGCGGAGGATTCTTTTTTCTCTCATATCACAGACAACAGTATTAATTGTAGAAAGGATTCCTGCACTTCTCTGTACTTAGGTTTCTGTTCTGATTACATTTAAAGTTTCGTATACAATTTTCTTCCCTCAAACAGCAGAGACCTCCTTTCTACGTCTAATATATTTTAAGCAGCGTGTTTAAAGAGAAAACGACGCAGGATCAGTGAAAAAGGGACTCACGCTTAATCTTTATTAAGAGTCGATACGCTGTTACTCTTTTTTTATTCCATGCAGTTTTAATTCTAATCCCTTATGACAGTCACTTACGTGCTACGTTTCGACTTAATGAGTAATCTTTGGTTTCATGGAACATCCCTCAACCTCATATCGCTCACCGATCGCTTTCGTCGATCGTAAGAAAAAAATCATTCCTAGTTTTATCACATCGTACGTCTTTGGCATTGCAGTCCTGTTTTCTAACACATTTGAGCATGACACGAGGAAAAATCGTGTGGCAGGTATATCGGCACTCTGAACGATCGGCGCCATGCCAGAACACCTCCTCTGACACAATTATAATAATCAAGTAGGATACATTATCCGATGTCGCCTCAATTAATTTAATTCAAACGTTTCATTCTGGCGTTTATAAAAAAAAAGGTCGTTCTCTTCTGTTTTGTGCAATTACTTTAAGATGTATAATTTCAAATGCTCTCTCGTGTACTTTCTCATTTCTGCTTACACGGCAAACGGAGCACCTGTATTTTTTGCGTGGGTTCAATTTAAT